GCATATTTGGGTAATCCGGACGAGGGTTCAAGGATAATCGTAACAATAATGTAATTAATATTTTATAGAATATGGAAATAATACACTGTGCGCCGTAAATTCCGTCAGCGGAAACCTCTAGTACATACCCGCTATTACATAATTGTCGCCAACTGTCTTTAGCTATGAGGTGCCATATTGAGGATAAAAAAGTGCCAGAATTTGCCAAATAGAAAAATAAAAGTGCCAAAAAAGGCGTCATCCTTTTTAATCCTTCCCATTTAGCAATAAAATAAAAACTACATTTCTAAAACAAAAGTGCAATGCCAAAATAAGATAAAGCAGTTGAATAATCTTTAGAAATTAAAAAATTTTAGTTTACTTTAGATTTTACAAAAATGTATTGAAATATTACTATTTTTGAAAAGTGCCAAATTGAAAAATTAAGTGCCATTCGTTGTAAAAAAGGGCCAAAAATGGCACGGTTTGAGCCAAGTTGGCAGCCCTGCTCGCCACCTGTCAATCGACTTGCAACGTTAGCGCCTCTAAACAATACTACAATACAAATATATGTATGTACATATATTTAAGTAGGTAATTAGTGGCTCGGCAGCAGTCGCACACAATACGCGAAGAGGTTTTCTTTCCGACGTCTAGTCATAGTTAAAGAGACGGTGGCATATGCATTAAAGACTAATGATTTTTACTTGGTGCTTTCCATACATGTATATATGTATTTTCATGCAGGCGTCTGCCATTTGTTTCTATTTCTGTCCTGCAAAAAATTGTGCGACTAAAGGGCTGATTATCCATACTTCGCACAACTTCGCATAAACTTTAAACTGTAATTTCTTATATACTTTGTAAGTATTTTGTATGTATTCCATTACCCATAAATTAGCAGAACTTTTAAAAACTTAGCGATCTGTTGAGTTTAGATTTCGCTTCACATTTTCCTAAGTTAAATTTGTATTGCACTGGAACAAATGGTTGTGCCAAGTTATGCGAAGTATGCGTAATCAGGCCTTAATATCTTACGAGAGTAGTCCCGGATTAGTCTTCATGGGTTACGGTTGAGTACTACTTAGTTGCAACTCATCTCATACGAGTATTATTTGAAATTAATTAGACCAAATTAGTGTTGAAAATTTGTAACTTGAAGATATTTTTTGCTTGGTGCCCAATTCTTTTTGAATACCGCAAAGCTATTCGCAAGCAATGTATATCTTGATTTGCGGGACTCAGGGCACTGTGGATCTCCGCCATAACGAAAGCAAAGCTAGCGAATGTTTTTTCTTCCCCAGAAAATAGTTATTTTATTTACTTCATCTCATCACAACTTTTTTACAGAAGTATATACATACATGTAATACTTACTAAGTAGAATTCTCCTTTCTGTATTGCCGAAGAAGATCTCCCCTCTTCTTTTTTGCAAATAACTCCTTTCTTCATAGGCGGCCTTCGACCGATGCCCAAAAGATTAGTTCTGGTAGGAGGCTTTAACCCTTTAAAATAAGGCTTTCCATGAAACAATCGTTTCTGATATACATACATACATACTATCTAACTAAGTGGTTAGAGGTGCGTACTACCCCACTCCGTAGGTCCCTGGTCTGGGCGATCGCCCCTCGGCGGGCAATGGGTGCATTTTTGCCATGAAAAAGCTTCTTATAAAATCAATTTGCCGCTCGGAGGCGGCGTAAAATTGTAGATCCCTCAATTTTGTGTTATAGCATCAGTGCGTCACACCACAAATTGGAGGATAAGTTCGGCCAAACACTTAAAAAAAAATTTAAGCGCGAAAATATTATTATTATTATTATTATATGGGAAAGGGAGACTTTCAGTTGGTTCTAGTGAACAATTGCAA